TGTCCTGGGGAGCTCTCCTAAGGTGGTGCTAGAGGTACAAACACCTGGGGAAAAGTCACTTTTTGAGCTTGCACAAACAAGATTTCTCATTCACAGCCTTTGGGTTTTGCTGCAATGCCGATTACCTTGAGATGGAAAGAGTTTTTACAGCTTTAAATGTGAGGGTTAAGTGCCTACATCTGTTCCAGGGGCAGCCCTGAGTGACTACAATCAACTTCACATTATGTTGGATTTCCACCTACCCACTTCAGGACGGGGACAGGGACAGAATATTTGATCAGACTCCTGTGCAGCTCAGGAATCTCACGGATGTTTTAGTAAATTATGCCGTCTATATTTAAGTCAAAGTTTTTAAAAAAAATCAAATACATTCTGTAGCCCTGTTTATCTCATTATCCACGAAAGATTCAAAGTTCCAATGCAGCTTCGAGCTTGGCTCTTGATTAATTTCCAGCCCACCAGGGAAAAGAAATCTCTCTGGGAGGACAACCCCCAAATCACAGCCAAGCAGCGCGGTTTGCAAACGACGTTTCAAGGAGCACATCAATAAATCAGGTCAGCACATGGAGTATGGAGAAGTCCAACTCTCCTCTAGGGAATTCTGCTAGCCCAGAGCCACACACCTCTTGCCACCAGCAGGCCCTGGTGGGGTTTAGGGCTCTATTTTGCTTCCAAAGGCACTTTAATGTGCTACACACATTGCTTTGTCTCATTAGCTTGCAATTTATATAAAATGATAGAATGGTTTGGGTTGGAAGAGACCTGAACGATCATCCCAAGCTAACCCCTGCCATGGGCAGGGACACCTTCCACCATCCCAGGTTGATCCAAACCTCATGCAACCCGGCCTTGGACACTTCCAGGGATCCAGGGGCAGCCACAGCTTCTCTGGGAATTCTATTCCACAGCCTCAGCACCCTCACAGCCAGGAATTCCTTCCCAATATCCCATTTATCCCTGCCCTATGGCAGTGTGCAGCCATTCCCTGTGTCCTGTCCCTCCACCTCTTGTCCCAAGTCCCTCTCCAGCTCTCCTGGAGCCCCTTTAGGCTCTGGAACGGGCTCTGAGCTCTCCCTGGATCCTTCTCCTCTCCAGTTGAACACTCCCAGCCCTCCCAGCCTGGCTCCAGAGGGGCTCCAGCCCTCGGAGCAGCTCCATGGCCTCCTCTGGACTCACTGGAACAGGCCCAGGCTTTCTGAGGCTGTGTTTTCTTCAAAAACCTTCTGGCTGCAGGTGCTTTGATCCTGGCTCACGCTGGCACACGTGTGCAGCTGCTGTGCGGCTCCTCAGAGTGAGGTGGTGCCTGGACCCTCTTCAATCCCAGCCCAAATCCACCTTCATCCCCTCCTCTTCTCCCCTCAAGTTTCCCCACCAAGCTCTGTGCCCTGGGACCTGCACACGGAGCAATTCCTTGCCTCCCAAAGTTCCTGGGAAGGTGTTTGTTGCACAGAGATGCAGCCCCACTGGCAGATCTGAGAGAATTGGATATTCCCCATCAAAAGAGCTTTTTTTTCCCCTCACAAGGAAATCAGAATCACAGCTCCTCGCTTTTTTTTTGATACTGGCACACACTGGCTTGTGTGTCCTGCCAATCCCATGTCCCACCTGCTGTGGGAATGCAGAGCTTCCCTCTGGCTGCCCTGGGACCCTGGCAGGGGTCAGGAACCCCCCTGGACAGAGCCTCCAGAGACACTGTCTGTGATCTCTGCCCATGGAAAAGAGTTTTCAATCTTACAGGATCAATTACCAGCTCTGAGTGTTTGATATCAGTAATAATTAAGTGTGGCACGGGTGAAAAAGTAAAATTTTAGGATTCTAGATTAGGGGTTCAAAGGGGACAAGATGGAGGAAATTGGGTGTGTCTTGTCCTTTTTCTCCTTCTTCATGCCCTCCATGTTTCACTGTGCTGTTGGCATTTTTCTGTTGGTTCAGGCTGGGGACACACTGTTCAACGTAGGTGACAGATATTGGCACGTTATTGTAAATATAGCACAGGTAGTTTGTGGTATATAATGTTTGTAACATCCCACTGAGGGGTGTTACACTGGTGCATTATTGTAAATATAGCACAGGTAGTTTCTGGTATTTAATGTTTGTAACATCCCACTGAGGGGTGTTACATTGGCACGTTATTGTAAATATAGCACAGGTAGTTTGTGATATTTAATGTTTGTAACATCCCACTGAGGGGTGTTACATTGGTGCATTATTGTAAATATAGCACAGGTAGTTTGTGATATTTAATGTTTGTAACATCCCACTGAGGGGTGTTACATTGGTGCATTATTGTAAATATAGCACAGGTAGTTTGTGGTATATAATATTTGTAACATTATATACCAGAAACTGGGGACTGGGTTTAGGCTGGGGACACACTGTTCAACATAGTTGACAGATATTGGCATGTTATTGTAATATATTAAATATATTTAAATATATGTAAATACATATATTTAAATACATATATATTAAATATATTGTAAATCCAGCACAGGTAGTTTCTGGTATTTAATGTTTGTAACATCCCACTGAGGGCAGAGCCCCGCACGCTGCCCTGCAGGACAGAGCTGCGGCAGGGCAGCAGAACATGTTAGAGATAAACAGAAAAAACATCCTTGAAACCAGCACAGACGAATTATGGCTCTTCTTTGTCTGTGGGGCAGAAAGACAGAGACTTTCTACAATCTTGGAATCATCAATACCCACAGATTCCGACAACCTGCCTCTTCCCCTGGCCAGCACATCCCAAATCTGAGCCAGCAAGGCTCAAACAGAGCCTCACCTCTGCTCCCAATGCTCTCTTCACCCCTTTCCAGAGCAGAAATTAGAATTTCTCACTGTCTGATGAAGCCCAGGGAAGTTTTCCATCATTCCACACCAAACCATCCTTGCAGAAGAATGGCACAAGCTCCCAGCAGGATTAAGCACCCAGTCTGGAGATGGGCTTAGCAACAGGGGATGGATGCCTGGAGGCTGCTCAGGGTTAACCCTCCGGTGAGAAATCCCAGATTTGGGCTCTTTTAAAAAACAGGGATTTAGAAAAACGGGAAGAAAGCAGAGCTCTCTGTGACCCAGCCGCTCCACAGCGTCATGAAAGGCGGATGAAAAATTAAACCTTATAATTTGAATAAAGATTTGTAGGGAATGGGTATGTTTATTTATAGTGCTGTGGACGCATGTTGGGATTTATTGCTTTTTAATGGACATGCGTACTTCTGAGAACTCCTGATCTTTTTTTATTATTTTTATTAATTTCTATTATGCGTAGAATTTCACAATAGCTTAATGCATATTTATTTTGCTGATTTTGCATTATACTTATAGCTAGTTACACTTGTTACACTTGTATTCAGCTTTTAGAAAGTATAGAAAGAACTCCTGGGTCACTCTGCCCTGTTTCAAGGTCTGAGGAGTCTTATCTTTTTTCTTTTAGTGTGGAAATTTGCATTCTCTCTTTTTTTTTTTTGCTAGGGCTGCAGTTACTAAACTAAACAGCATATTTAGCAAGCTTAAAGTGGCATATTTCACCTAAATCCAAATGGATTTCTACCCTGTTAAGTTTTCACTCTGTCTCAGTCACCCAAAGCAGGCACAGGACAATTCCCACCTCTGGAACCACACGGTTCCCAACATCCCCCCAGCTGGAAGGTGACACAAAGCAACTCGTGTGTGTCAAGTCCCCAAAAAAAAAAACCAGCAGGGCTCCAACACAACAGATGTGCAGATGAGAGCCAGGTACAAAAAGCCATTATCTTCCATCAACACAAATGCATTTTTCTCTCACAAATAACACCCATTAGCAGCTCCAAGGAGAACAATCCCCGCTCCGAAGGAGGACGTGGCTTTTCAGCAGACACACAATGCAAAGATTTTGTAGAATTCGCAGGTTCAAAAGCACTAATGTGAAAGATTATTTCGCAATTAACCAGGCAATTTTCTCTCCTCATTGTTCCCGGACCATAAGGGTTTTTAAATGTGAGCAGAAGGATTTATTCATCACAATAATAATAAAACTAAATATTAAATCAATGAATCTCTTTGCATGCAGCATAAAGCTCACATTGCTATTAAGCTCAGTAGCGTCCTGTCACATAAACCACACGCAGTTTGTGTATTTAAGTACCATCTCCCTCTTTTATTTTTCCCTTCCCTAATTTGTAAGGCATTATCCTTCCATTTGTCCTCTAAACACAGCCAGATTCAGAGCACTCAGTGTTAGTTCTTGTTAGTAGCTCTCTGCCCTTGCTCTCTTTATGAGGGGAGATTTATATTTAATTTTGATTTTTAACAGCGACCAGTGAAGAAGGTTATGCTGGGATGGCAAGGAAGACCTAAAATAAATAAAAAAATTAGGGAGAATTCACTCCTTACAAGCCAACGTCCAAGTGAGTACATTTTCATGGGTCTGAAAATGAATGTTGGCTGTTGAAGGTGTCACCTCTTCAGTTTGGCTGAGGAAAAAAAATAATCAGCCCAAATACATGCAAAAGTCAGCTACAACCTTGGGAGCACGGAAGCTCTCACAGTCACATCAGCCTTGGCTCGTAATTCCTTCTCTGCCTTCCCTTGTAATATAAAGTGAGAATTGAGTTTTGAGGTCTTTGCAGTCGACACTAATTCAGTGGGTCCCTCTTTTGTTTTAATAAAAAATTCATCTGGCAAAGTGCAGAAACAGTTACTACTTAGGAATTTATAAGGTGCCAACTGTCCTCACAGGGAGGCACTTAAAGAGCCTAAGCAAGAGATTTCACACGAGCAACAATCTTTAGCTTTAAGCATCAAAATTCACATTAGGCTCCTCAAAAGGAATTTGCATCCTCTGAGTGCTAAATATCTGTGCTAAATATCTGGCACCTTTTGTTTTTCTCCACTGATAAAATTACCCAAATGAGGTACAGACACCTTGAAACGTCCCCCAGGACTGAAGCTGAGCTGACACAGAGGACTCCAGCGCGCAAACCCCACCACGAACGAGCCCATTGTGGCTGCATCTCTCTTACCATGATTGGGACGCCAATGTCCGGCCACAAGAGATCCTCGGAGGGAAGCTTGGGAGAGTTCCACACCACCACGACTTTATTTAAGTAGGGGAGACCATTGAGCCTTTCTAGGGAGTTCATCAAGACTTCCTCCCGCTCGTAAGTCAACATCACCACCGTGAACTGCTCCCGCGGGACGTTGCCACCCAAAGCAGCCTGGAACTCCTTCCCAGAGCCACCTGCTCCTCCACCAATTGGTCGAAATCCAGTCCCAGACCCCAAAAATTTTGCTTCTGACGGTAAGACGGGGTCAAAGGGAGTGTAGGGGAAGAGGTGGAAAGGCCCCGGGGCAGAATTCCAATTCCTATAGATATCCATTGCGGTGAGGGTGAAATTGCGGAGATATTTGGGGGAGGCGTAGGGTGGCTCTGTTTCCACAGGCCCCAAGTCCAGGTCACCATTGTCTGCCATGTTGGGGTCTGTACCAGCAGCTTTGCCAGAGCGGTGGGGGATCTCCACGGCAGGTTCTTCTCGGATAGGAGCAGCCGGGATTTGGATTCGAGTCCTTATGATAGCTAAGACTGTGCTGAAGACGTTGTCGGAGGTGGAGAAGTAGGTCTCCCACAAGAAGCGGCCCTGCCTCCTCATGGCAAGGAGATCGTTGTCAGAAATGCTTCTCAGAAGAAAGTGCACTTCTGTGATACGTGGCTTTGGTATAATTAAGGCTGCCTCGTTCCACCGGATCACATCGTTGTAGGGTAGCTGAACTTGCTCTCCGAGAACCACCGGGATGGCCCCGACTTCCAGAGCCTCAAACAGTCTCATGGTACACCCGGCGGAGATCACTAAATGGGTGTCCCCGGGGGTGATGATCAGTGCAAAAGTAGAAAGCTTCAGTAGCTCTAGTCTGTCGTCCCTTTCTCCACACAGAGCCCACTCAGTGGGCAGACTCGCCTTAGGCTGGTTCTTACACGTGAACTCCACCAGAACAAAGTCCAGCTTGCTGTCCTGAACAGCCTTCAAGGTGGTGATGATCCGGTCGTCGTAGTCGGCCGGGGCGTTGCCTTCGATCTCCTCTTCGAAAGAGCGAACCTCCTGCAAGCTGGAGCGGAGAGACTCGATCTTCTCCCCCTGGAAACTGAACAGGTACTTACGCTTGACCGGCACCTGGGGCGGGATCTCTAGGAAGTTGGGCTCGGACATGGCGTGGACCAGAGGCGATACCACGATGTCGAAGCCCGGCCGATACTGGGCGTCGTAAAAGGTGGACTGGGCGATCATGGCGCGCCCCGTGCTGATGTTGTAAATGAAGTTCTGAGTTTCCGACTTCCTCGATAGATTGATGATGAGATGGTTGTGTCCATCAGTCCTCCAATATGGCAAAGAGTGCAACTGTTGCTCTAGTTCAGTAGGTTTTGGCATTACGGGCTCTTGCATTTCCCCCAGTAAAATTATATACACACAAGCAATATTTGCATTTTCAGTAACATAAACATTAGTTCTGACAGTCGCCTCAAAGGCCTGTTTAATTAAAGGGTCTAAGGAGCTACCAAAAGGGTAATCGTCACTGTTGTAGACATAGACTGGAAAGCCAGACGTCAGCGGGCAGCGTGAGTAGTCAAAGCAGTTGTGCAGCCTGCAGTTCCTGTTGGATTTTGGCAGGGGGAAGGTCGCATCGTCCTTGTCTGGCAGCAGCCGGATGGGCAAGGAGAGCTTGGGCTGGTTCTGAGCCATCAGCTCTTTGTAGGAATGCTCAGTCTGACTGATGACGTTCTTCAGCTGCAGCAGGTCCTGCTTGGCATTTTCAATGCTCTTCTTGCAGGCCTCGATCTTCAAGTTGAGCTTGGCGATCTCGCTGTTGAGCTCCTGCCGCTTGGCCTCGAGCTGGAGCAGCTCCTCGCTGACCGACTCGCGGATGCGGCACAGGTCCTGCACGTGCTTCACCTCGCACAGCTCGTTGCCGGTGCGGGGGCCGAAGATGCGCTTGCCGGCATCGTCCGCGTCGTCGATGGTGGTCAGGTAGTAATGGGCAATGAGGGGGAAGAAAACGAGGATGACGAAGAGGGTGAAGCTAAGCCAGGTGAGCCGGATCCGACTGGACCACCTCAACACCCACGGCTGGCCTCCGTTCCCCACTCCCCCATTGCGCAACATCGTATAGCCAGTCATGAGTTCCGAAGTCGCCGCGCGCGCAATCACGTTGGATCAGTAGCCATAACCAAAAGAGTTTTTACAGCAAGTCTCTCGAAGGGAAATGTTATTGTGCCTGCTCAACAAGAAGCCAATGGAAGGGGAATTTCATCTTCTTGCCGTGCCAGCGGCTCTTCCACGGTCGTTTTGCTGCAGGCGCAACTTCTGAACCCGTTAGACTCGGTCATTGACCTTCTCGCCCACCCCCAGCCCACCCTCGGTCCGCGGGCAACCTTTGCTGGAAGTGTCACAGCGTTGTCATGGTGATTCAGAGTCGCAACCGGCAGGAGAAAAACACGGTGGGACCGAGCCAAACTCTACCGCTGCTGCCGACATCCTGCATTACCATCCCATGAATATGCAGAGGCAGCAGCCGCTGTGCAGACGGGGCCAGAAGGGACTCGTAGCACTGTCAGTCTCTCTCATCGCTGCTGGGAGGATGAAGCTCTGCCATTCCTACGAGAGAACAATCACAGAGTCAGGTAACACAACCAAAGTGACCCATCAGTGACCTGAGACACGGTTAGATTTAAAAGCAATTGTCCTCTCTCAAAAGAACAACCTCTGGGGTGTCACCTGTGAAGGCAATGGGATACACGAGATGTGGACACACAGCTTTCTCCAGGCACTCTGCTCCTCGCTTGTCGGAATCTGTGGGTATTGGTGATTCCGACATTGTAGAAAGTCTCTGTCTTTCTGCCCCATTGCCAAAGAAAAAGCCATAATTCGTCTGTGCTGTTTTCAAGGTTGTTTATTCTTGCTTATCTATAACATGTTCTGCTGCCCTGCCGCAGGTCTGTTCTGCAGGGCAGCGTGTGGGGCTCTGCCCTCAGTGGGATGGTACAAACATTATATACCAGAAACTACGTGTACTATATTTACAATAACGTGCCAATATCTATCATCTACGTTGAACAGCGTGTCCCCAGCCTAAACCAATAGAAAAATGCCAACACCACAGTGAAACATGGAGGTAAGGAAGAAGGAGGAAAAGGACAAGACACTCCCAATTCCTCCATCTTGTCCCCTCTGAACCCCTAATCTAGAAACCTAAAATTTTACTTTTGCACCCGTGTCACACTTAATTATTACTCTTATCAAACACTCAAAGCTTGTAATTCATCCTGTAAGATTGAAAACTCATCTCCATGGACAGAGATCACAGACAGTGTCTCTCGGGGCTCTGTCCAGAGTCCCAGACCTGCCAGGGCAGCCAGAGGGAAGCCCTGGATTCCCACACTCGCTGGGGCTGTGTAGGGCTGCTCCAGACCACACAACCTCCTCATCCCTAGACCTGGATCCTCGTTTTTCCCACCTGCAAGGCCCTCTCTCCTCACATCCCAACCCGAGGCGCTGACGTACACCTGCTCTCCCTGCCCGCCCCGCTGTGATCCCGGGAATTTGCACTGCATAACTGAGGTAATCGCCATTGTTTTGCTCTGGTGACTAGAGCTGATGAGGAATTTTTAGATGAAGTGTTTTGCTTTCATTTCCTGCCGGAAAATTTTGATTCATTGCATGAGAAAGTTGAAAGGGAACGTACTTGTGCTGCGTATGAGGGAATTTCTGGTCAACACTGGTAAAGTCTATACCGTACATCAAAGCAAAGATGCTGGAGTTAGGATCTGTTGGGAGCCTCCTGAGAGAAATTCCTGGCTGTGAGGGTGGTGAGGCCCTGGCACAGGTTGCCCAGAGAAGCTGTGGCTGCCCCTGGATCCCTGGAAGTGTCCAAGGCCAGGCTGGACAGGGCTTGGAGCAGCTTGGGATGGTGGAAAATGTCCCTGCCCATGGCAGGGGGTGGCACTGGATGAGTTTTAAGATCCCTTCTCACCCAATCCATTCTGTGATTCTACAAAATTCAGCTCTGACTCAGCTCTAGGCCAACAGATTTAAATCTAGGCCACCTCAATATGCTGTCACTAGAAAATCTCCCATTTTATTGGCATCCTCCAAGGTACTGAAGTTTCTGGGATATTCTTTCATACTCTGGGCTTCCCACATCGCTGATGAATATAGAGCTGGGCTTAGCACCATCTCCTGCACAGCCTTAAGAGAAGCTCATTCATTTCCGTTTCAATTTTTAATTAGAAGAAAGTCATCCATGCTGCTGACGGTCATTTTTCACTAAATCTATTTAATGCCCCTCTCATCTACTCATCAAGAATTCCCAGAAAGAAGGTGAGGAAGCAAATCTCAGCTGAAAGAGATCTGGAAATGAGCCAAAGCAAAAAAGTTCACCTTAAAACAGCAGAGAGAAGTCAGGAGGAATTTTCAGTGTTGTACTCAAGTGCATGTCAGAGAAAATAAAGGGAAAATTCGATTTAACCATGAAAAATCATCATGAAGAGGGGAAATATGTGGGGTAATAAAGCACAATCCCCAGGCCTATTGTTACACGGCCATTTGTTGTCACTTACTTAACACCCCATGATTAAATGGGATTTCCATCCCCTCCCACCAATGTGACCCACAACCCAGCTGCACAGCAGAATGAACGCTTAAAACCAAGGCAGATTTTAAATTCATGACATTGGCAAACAGCAGTGGCGTAAATCTCGGAAAGCCAGGAGGATAAAGGGGCTAAAAAGTCAGCAAAAGGCTAAATCAGCTTTCTTGGATCTTGGCAGCACACGGCTGCAGGCAGATGGGAGGCTCCAGCCCTTGGGACTGCTCTGGATTTTAGCAGGCACCAACATGCAACTGAAGGTAAAAAAAAATAATAATATAAATTTTTAAAAAGCTTTTATTTTATTTTTCTTTCTTTCATTCTTTCCCTGCCTTTTCAGGCCCTCTGCAGGAAGGGAAGTTCATGTGTGTGTGTGTGTGTGTGTGTGCCAGTCCCTGCTATTTCAGCCTGGTCTCATGGGGGCTGCAAAGATCCTCCAGTTGCCACCAGTTTTCTGCAAACAGCTGGCAAGGAGATGAGCTGCCCTAAAAATGCTTTTCCTGAGAGAAATGCCAAAGCACACACTCACTTGAACACCACCAGAATCTAAAAATCAGCTTAACTTCAAGGCACACGTGGGGAAAACAAGCTTTGATGGGGTTTGTTGTTTGGGGGTGCCATGGGATCAAACACTGCAGGGTGTTGAGGTGACACAGAAATGAGGGATCATAAATGTGGACACATAAACACGTAGCTTTGGCTGGTCACAAAAAAACTGCAGCCCCAAAGGTAAGACTGCATCAATATCTTATCCCTTGGTGGTTACTTTGCCTATTTATAAGCCATAAATGGTACTGAAATGGCAAACTGGACTCCCTAAAATGGCACTTAGGGTCTTTGAAAAGCCAAATCCTTCACCCCACACCTGATCCTCAGCAGCTGTTCTGCCACCTCCTGCTTCCAGTGGCTCTGCTCCTCCCCTTCCTTGACACAGAACAAAATTCTTCCTCCTCACCTCAAAATATGGGTTGTGAATTTAAAACACCCCTATGCCCAGAAGTCTGAGGTTGCCAGCGTGACTCCATTGCTCTCCCAGAAAACACCACAAGGGAAAGGCCAGAGCAGGCTGAGGAGGGACTTAAAATGCACCACACGTGGCTTGGGATTAGCTAAAAGTATGGACTGTCAGTATGAAATATGTGCTGGTGATAAAATGAGCACTTTAGACACACTCCTGGACTCTTCTTCACTATTAAGACTTTATTCCTCATCAACTCAATCGAGCCTGAGGTTTTCACACATTGCTATTAGGACTTACAAAAAAATAAAAAGACAAAGTAAAAACCCAATCTGTGGTTTTATCAAGAGAGACTTCAGGGCTGTGTTTATCAGCCCTGGGGGAAAAGGCTGATGATTTCCCATCGTTCCCAAAAATAAATTTGGAAGGAAGAGAAGCAGGATTGCTGCTGGGCTTTCCAGCCAACTCACCCCTCTCACTCCCAAGTACTATTTAAGTACTTTAAAGAACTATTTAGTTCTTTAGACTCACAAACTCCTGTTGATGTTACAGCACAATGTTGCTGCCTGGTGGAGCTGATTACACACACCAAGAAAGAGGTAGGAAGAGTTCTTAGGGGATCACAAGATCAATAATTACCAGAGCCTCTTCCCAAATGCAAACCTGACAGGTTTGCACGCTGCAGCTCCTTCTCCCATGAAACTCAGCAGCTCAGAGCACATTGTCAAAGCCTGGGCTGCATTCCCAGCTTTCCTCAGCTCCACAGCAGGCACTCCCTGTGCCAGTGGAGTTATGGGAATACCTGAGGTTCCCCCTCTTTTTGCATTTCCAGAAATAACCCAGCTGGTCTGATCTCTGAGTGTTTGTGGAGTGTTTATGGCTACTCTGCAAATGTTCAGAGACTTGAGCACACCTACTCCTCCCTGCTTACACCTCTCTTATCCATCTTGCTACAAAATTAGGGAAGTACTGCTCCTTTCTCAGCATATTTGTGAACAGAGCCTGGAAAATTTAAACTTATGGTCGTTCAGAGCTCAGCAGACCAACGCACAACCGTGAGGCAGAACAGACTGCACTGTGGGGAGGGAAATCCACAGGGATCCTCCTGCACCTGCTAAATCAGAGCTCCCAAACTCTCTCTGTGTGCAACCACACTCATCCTAACTACCCCTTTCCTTAAGAAATGAGAGCTCTGCAGGGTTATTGTTATCCACAAAGTTCTGCTGCTCTCCATGGAGAGCAAACCCACCTCTGCCATGCCAGTCCCTCCTGGCAAGCAGACAAGGACCTCAGGGAGCGTGGAAGTGGCTCCCATGCTGTATCTGGGCTTGGAGAGGCACCAAGGCTCTCTTTCATCAGCATTAGGAATGAAATCAAGGAGAGAAATAAAAATACAGCGTATTCTCCCCTTCAGAACAGGCTGTAGTGGAAGAAAAAGAGCTCCCAACAACCCTTCAGCAATGATAACTTTCTATTTCCTAATGCTCTCAGAGGGAAGGATTACATCCCAAATCTCCCAATCACTTTGGGAACAGGAGCAGTTGAACAAGGAGAATAAATCTATCAGGGGTGTGCTTTAAGTTACAGTTGGTTGGGAGCAGATCCATCAAAGAAGCAGATGGAAAATTCACTCTGAAATTGCAAGCAGCAGCTTTAGGGATCATCCTGAGGGATTTGTACCATCTCCAGAGCAACTCTCCCAGGCTGAGATCAGCGCTGTTATATGCACAGGTAAAAGGTGCTGTAATCTGGAAATTCCAGGGATAAACTGCATCCCTGGCCTTAGGGAGTTTTATCCAAACCAAGGAATATTCTGTACGTCTGCAGCTCCATGCAAAGCCAAACCCACTCCCAGCCCTGCTCCTCATCCACGTGGGCATGTGTGGGGTAAAGGGATCCTGGAAAAATGCTCCAAGAGCCCCTCCAGGTGCTCATTCTGGAAAAGGTGAAGAAGGCAGCGGCTTCAGAAGTGGCATTTGAGGAACTTTGAGTTTCCACCCCAAGTCCTTGGGGAAGCAGGGTGCTCCCTCCTGTCACCACAGCACACAAGCA